GGAAAGTCTATATATAAATATATTTATATCTACTGTGATGAGAACTACAGCTTTAACCGTAAACCGTTGGTAGGACCAGCCGAAATCCCAGGTTAGGTTGACTACGTGTTGAATTTCTAGTGATCTGGAAGAGCAAAGGAAGAACTTGGCCAAATTAATATTCAGTGACATCACTGTGGCGACCTCTGTTAAAGAGACAGGCCATTACTTTAACGTATTATTTGTTTATAGATGGCGGTGTGAATTCTATTATGATGCATGAACCAATAACGCAGTAACAAATAACGCCAAGAAATATTTCATCACGCGCTGAAGTATTTTTTATTTATCTGAGACACTTAACAATGCCCATCAACATCCACCCCCTCGTGTAGGTTTAGTGAACAACAGACCTTCAAAATATTTGTATAAATGTAGTATTACTGTCAACGTGTGTACTGTGAGACTGACATTTGGCTGTCACATAAAACATTTAAAATAAACTAATGACAAATTGCTAAGCGACCAAACACTGCGTCGCCGTCAATCCTGTGACAAGTATCAATGAACGTTGAGGACAGCAATCAATCTCTAAATGAGGCGAGACGTGCATTAGTTAAGCCAAATTACAGTTTTGTTTTGTGTGTGTGTGTGTCTTTCAACAAACGCTACAGCAGGCCGACAAAATCACTTCTTAATAACGCTCTCAAATGAGCATTTTTATAAAATCTTTAATTTATTTTTCCATATCAGAAACAACACCCACATAGTACTGAGAGTCAAGCGAGGATGTACTGTAGTTTTATTGTTTTATGCATATGAGTACTGTGATTACTGCTCTAATATTATGTGAAAAGATAAACCATTACGGACTTCATTACAGTGCATTAAAACATTACATTATCTTTAAATAAACGTCCTCCAAATCAGCCTTGGTCCAATTATTCACACAGAACGTTCGTCTTTGCTAATGTAACATGTGACTGTGTGTGTGTGTGTGTGTGTGTGTGTTATCCTGGTACACCTGTACTTGTTGGGACACATTTCAGAAACTGACAGAGAGAGAGAGAGAGAATATTTGAGGTCAGGATTAGGACTAGGGCCAGAACACAGATTAAGTTAGTTGTAAGTTAACTAACCTAGTTAATGGGGTTAATGGGGTTAGGTAAACTATTCTGTGTATGTGAGATGTTTACAAAACACCAACCAATATGTATGTGTGTGTGTGTGTGTGCACAAGTATTGATATCACGCTGCCCAATCATTATCCCGCCCCCCCAGAGCACTTCCTGTGCAGGATGGGAAAATAGGTTTGGAACCAAACAGGGGTGTGTGGACGGAGGATCTATATTTCATGCTTCTCATTCTCTTCAGCATAAATCTGTGAGTGCACTTGAAAAACAACGTGCGAAACAGAACATTAGGATAATGGAAAATTGGACGCGTGAGCGAGCGAGCGAGCAAGCGACTCTCGATGCAAACAGACCCTGTTGGCGTCCAGGACAAAAGGACAACTCTGGTCCATTCTGACTGTACTGTGTACAGTATGAACAGGTGAGAACACGGTATGATTCAGCACAGACACAGTTGGTCTGCAGATAAGAAACATCAAATGGATGATTTCCACAGTTTTCCTAGATTTCTTAGACTGAATCATGAAATGTATCTGAATATAAAGAAAGCGTCAGATTAACGGGGTTTTTGCTCAGCCACTGTTCATGTTACATTGCTCTTGTCATGATAGTTTGGGCAGCAATTAGGGTGAAAGTCTGTTATGGTGCCAGATACAGTGCCTTAGTACTTCCTAAAATAACAGTACTGTTACACCTCTAACAGGAAAACTGTACAGTCTTTAAAATGTAATTTAATGCTGTATCAATAGATAAAATAATATATATAACGGCTGTCAACCGTATCTGGAATCATTTTGATTTGATTTCCAAACCTTTTCTTTTAAATAACTTCTTTATGGTTGTGTGTTTTTTTTTTTAAATGGACTCAAACATAAAGCAGGACTAACTCAAAGTAATTTATTCTGCTCTGTGGTACTATTAAAGCTCTGCCTGTGAATACATTTAATATTCACACTTTAATTTCCTATGCAATCCCACAGCTCAGAGGTACGTACAGCTACATATTATCATGTGACGGTTATTATTCTGTTTGTACATCCAGCCATACGTGTGCTAAAGATTTCAGCTTTATTTTGTGCTTCGAGGGGAAGATTATTTCCTAAGCAACACTTCATAGGATGCACTTGATAAAAGACACAATACAACACGTTTCCTGTTTGAACTTAAACACACACACACACACACATTTATATAAAGCTACTGTAGCCTCAGCTATTGAAGTTAGCTGTAACCACACTGGTACTGTTCTCATGTTCACAGCTTATCTAAACAGTTCACTTCTAGTTGGACTAACACAGTACTCTACTCTTTATGAAATACCAGCTCCAAACTAAATACTTTCAAAGTGTTGTGCTGTTTCTACTGCAACAACCGTTGCTATTTTTTTTCCATCTTTATGTATACAAATTTTTTTTTTACATTTTAACTGAATTTAAAAATAAATTAAAAAAAAGATGCAGTAATCAAAACTGATATATGAAAATTTTTAGAAATTTTTAGATTGACTAGAATGTGGGAAATTGTAAATACGTATTCATTTTCAGTAAAAAGAAAGAAAGAAAACACCTGAATATGAATCATTTCAGCTTCAACAAAGCTAGTTCTAATAAAACCAAATCCAAATCCAGCAGGTTTTACAAACACACGAGTTCATACATTAGGAAAACGTAACGTACTGACATCTCTGTCCAGTTTTTATAAAGAGTCCACTGTTATTGTCAATGACAACCACCTTTTCTACTGACACTTTCCCTGCTCCCAAATGGCAGGAAGTCCCAGGAAGGTTTACAGCCCTGTCACAGCTGTGAGCAACAACATTTGATTTGGGAAATATAGAATGTGAATAAAGGAGCCTCATATAAGACATCACATCAGATCAGCTTATGATCTCAGCTGCAGAACCGACACGTGAAAACACAGCCCTGTTCACAACACTCGACTTTTAAAGCAGTGCTCTCCTACACGCTCCGGTGAATAATCATGAGTCAAAATTTAATACCTGAAAAATGCTTTACACAAGATTACATTAGCACAGGGCCAGCAGCAACAAGCCAGCGGTGGGACTGGTGCTTACTGCTCTGTGAATCCTTACAAAACCATGGCAACTGGCTCTCAGTGTAGCAGTCTCCTAAATCAGGTGCTGCTCCGCTGGCTCTGTTATTGCTCCTGTCATTAAATAATTCGGCCCCTGGGTTTGAGGCTCAGTGGATCAAGTCACCTTTCTTCACAAATTCCAAACACCACAGCTTACAAGCCCTGGCCGTGAGGATATTTTTTTCACTGTGATGTCCAAGCAAATCCCTATGTTATGTCCGTTATTGTGAAAACAAAAAACAAAAAAACAACAAAATCTCATCCATGATCAACACTTGTGTTGATCAGTGTTTTCTTGTCTTTTTTGGAGGTATCAAGTATTAGGGCTCAGAACTATGAATATTACAAATGCTGGCAGTACTTTTTCAAGGTAATATCATTTTCCACACTTTCGTCCAGATTGTTTTGTTTTAGTAATTACTAAGCTAGAAATCTAAACACATATCTTAGAATAGATATATATAGAATTATACTGTGACACTAACAGAGACATAAATACGTGTCCCGTGTAGAGAGAGTCTCTTTAAAAGTACTTCACAGCCACAGGAAAGTCAGACGATGCAACTCTGGTCCTAATTAGTTTAAAGTATCTCCAAAACTCCTGCAGTATTCATACACGCTTGAAGGCATTATGTTGTGTGTGAGATGATGAGGAAAGGGAAACACACTGCTAGGGTTCCCCAACTTCTACTAGCTGTGACCTAAATGAAGAATTAATTTCATTACAGACTGCAGACTCATTAAAACGTGATAATACTGTTTTAATGTGCAGCGCTACAAAGACTGGGCTGAAGAATCATTTAAGGTTCAAAGCCATTGTTCACTTTTATCACATTCTAATAATGTCACTCTCTTTGAGAGGGTATTAAAATATACAAGACTTTCTTAAAGGGAAAATTAATAACTACCCCTCCTCAGGGGAGGAATAAGAAAGATAGGGAATATATGGATTCGGTTTGCAGTAAAAAATTCTCCAGGAGTGAATTTCTAATGACACTGGCTAACGCCAAAGGCGAGTTAAGACCACTCCCTTTGAAATGTGCTGCGGAGGCAATATTCAATCACAGCAACTGCAGCGACTTCTGGGCACAGTACTCTGAGGCAAAACAAGCTCACGTGTGTGCGAAGGACACAGAGCAACCTTTGTTAAATAATGTAAAAAAAAGTGCAGACTATGTTCTGTCACTAATTACCACATACTGTATAAATCAAAAGGCTTTAATATATACATTATGTACAACACCAGTAAGGATTAAGGAATTAAAAGTTTCAGAATAAGAACTTGCCTCTTTTTTTTCTTACCTCTTTTTGTAAAGGGCTGTACTGACTAAAAGGCAACAAATAACACGTAACTGGGTTCGCCAGAAATAATATGTAACAGAATACGAGAGGAACCAGTGGGTCAGTTTCAACAACATTAAACTGCAGAAGGTGTGGGCGTTTTCTTAAAAACAAAATCTAGGTCGTGGATCAGAGGCAGTACCATGTCTGCTGGGTCACAGGGCTGGTTTCATGGCCACAGGATGGACCCCACCTGTGGCAGTTTCCAGTCACAGCGCTCTGAAACCACACTGGAATTTAGACTCTTAAATTCATTAAAAAAAAGAAACCCTTAAAATGACTCAGGTTGGCTGGAAAATGTGGAATGTTGTTCATTACATGTGCTTTAAATACTCCAAACAGAAAAAGGGTAGCAAATAAGGAAGTGAAGTGAATGGAAAAACCTGCCTAATACTTTTGCACAGCACTGTTTACACACTACTTGCTGTGAAAAAGAGTTGGCGTTGTCTTTACCTTGTCCTTGTCTTCAACCAGATCACTGAGTATATCATCTGGGTCCAGGATTCCTCCATCGCAGTATTCAACATGATGAGTCCGGACAAAGAAGTCGCCTTCCTGTAACGATGGACACGAGTGGGTCACAAAGCAAGAAGCATCATTACAACATATACTCTTATATGGTCACAGGGATCAGGTGTTCATAAAGAGCAGGAAGTGATGAATCTGAATAGTGTCAATGAAAAGGTTAGGCCATATATTTCCTAATACAAGAGCATTTGTTTTTCTGAAATGAGGGAGCCCCGATTTTATGACCAAATATATATTCATACAGTATATATATGAATGTACAAACACATTACATATACACACAAATATATACACAAATATACAGCATTATACACACAAATATATACACACATATACAGCACACTGCATATACATATATTTATATAAACACACACATGCAAGTATACTATATATTACACAGACACACTTACAGTATATATGCTCCAGACCCAACAACACCCACCAACTGATTACTTATTTATGACGTATAGAAAATGAAATAGTGTAATGCAAAGGCCGGGCAGGGAGAAAACAATCAGCTGACTGTTTACTCCTCTTCCCTCGTGCCATTTGTCTCTAAATTTTATGAGGCTTCTACACATCTCATGAATCCTTCCCTCGGTGTCTTTTACAGATTACAACTCCGGGGCCGGCTCTTTTGCGGCTCCCTCGCTCCTCGCCGCCTCTCTCTGCTGTGTTGGCCCTGTGATTAATGACATCAGCACTGCACTGGACAGCTGACTGCACAGAGCCGGTTGTTGAACAACACATTGAGACAACAACAGCGTATGCCCCGGCAAGTACACAGCCTGAAGGAAGCGTGTTGGTGAGAAAGGTTTCCTGGTGCCGGTGGTGCTGTGTTTATTCATCCCTTCACGGTGAGGTGTCCGTCAGTACTTTCACAGAACTTCCACGAGGCACAGGGTTTATATACTGTATAATGGAGCCGGGGCTGTTTGTGCCCCTAGACGTTACTGACAACTCTTTATGTCTGCAAAACACCTTTAAGGTGACAATTTTATGACTGATGCTGCTCCTTTGTTTTTCAATAACACATAATTAAATTACATGCATTTTTTTTATTAACCTGTGTGTATTTGGTGGATGTTATCACAGTGTGTGTGTTTAGAGTACTTTTCTCAAGGGATGGTGAAGGACAACTTATTTAATAAATGTGAACTAAAAGTCTATGTATGCAGAATTAGAAGAAAGACTGATTTTGATGGGTTTTTAATTTCCCCCTTTCAAGTCAACATCACGAGAAAAATAAATCAAAATGTGTTCCACTGAGAATAAAGACACGTTTCCAGCATGTTTTGATTGGACAAAATACTTCCCTGGATGTAACCAGTACTGCAACAGGTAAGGAGATGAGGAGTATACCAAGCAAATATACTTATATATGCTTGTTTTTTATGACAGTAAAGCTGACTTGACTCACATAAGAGTGACAAAAATCAGCTTTTATTGCCATATAAAGTAAATTTTACGGTGAAAACATAATAAAATCCACCATCGATTTGCAGATGGAGCCACGCCGGCTGCATTTCTGCCACATCTTATGGGAATAAACCATTAAAACATGACACCATTTTCTCTACATGAAGTGTAAAGTTAAGAGTCACATATGAAGTGACGTCAATGATCTTTAAAATCTTTAAAATTTCAAATAAATTCCATTTCTAGATAAAGCCAAAAGTGCAGTGTTTCTATCATAGCCACCTGCTTCATTTTCTTTCCTCATTTTCACCAGGGTGTCGTCAGCACAGTGAATGTTCACAGCTTTTAAGTTGGGATACCATCCTGATACCCCCCTATACACCCCCCGTCACAGCTTTTAAGTTGGGATACCATCCCCCCTATTCACACCCCCCCGTTGGGATACCATCCTGATACCCCCCTACCCCCCCTCCACTTGGAGCAGGGGTTCCAATCCTACCACTGCCTTACTGCCACCCTTTAACGAAGAGATATTAATAATAAATACTGATGAGGTGGCAAACTTCAGGGGTAAAACAACAACTGACTTAAGTTGTCTGTTGACCTGTCATGTGACCCAGACATAATAAAAACCCATCCTCTCTTACAGCATTGCCATGGTAACCATTACTGACCAAGTTAACATTCCACATTACAGATGGGCCCAGACTGATCCGTGATGATTCAGATTCAGATTTCATCTTGATTATTTAAATAAATGAGCATGTTAAATATCAACAACGGCAGCTGCTCATATATTTACATATATGAGCATATATTTAAACTGTGCATATAACCTGTACAAAGTTGTAGATTAGACATCGCAGCCAAACAGGGACTGATTGCTGGATCAACAGTCTCTTGATGTTTGTCTTCAAAGAAGCCAGTGTGCGTCTCCTCCCTGCTCCTTCCTCCCTCTCTGATATAATTGCCCGTGTTCTGGCACAGAGCCAGAATGTTTGCACAGTTTTATCAGCTTGTGAGACCACGTCTTTCCAGCATTCCACCCCTGGGTTAATGAAAGGACAGTACACACCTACATGGGCAGGAACTCTCTCCATAAACATGAACTATTACGTGTGTAAAGAGTACAACACTATAACTTCCTGATATACTGCAATACCATTAGTTTTGATGGGGTTTTTTTTTAAGACCTGAAGCTGGGCCTCAGCCTGTTGTCGTCTCCCTGGTTCTTGCCTTGTTTATGGTGATGATGGATTCCATGAATGTACTGTACACTTCAGTCAACATCTGAAAAGATTCTTCCATTTCTAAACATCCTCCTTTACTGACATAATCTTTTTAATCCTCAATCATTTCTCCGTCACAGCCTTTGGTCCCACACTGTGCGACTCAGACGTATAAAATATCTCTTATTCTAAGGCTGTAATCAATATGACAGCTCAAAGGAAATCAATGCACCTTCTATACATTATAAATCCCTTCAGATTTTTTTTTTTTTTAAGATGAAGATTACTTAGATAAGACTTCCAATCCAGCAGATAAGTGCCATCCAATCCTAGCAGGATAAGGCAGCAGAGAAGTACAAGTGCCATTCCAATCCTAGCAGGATAAGGCAGCAGATAAGTGCCATTTTTTGTGTGAAATCCAATGAATACAGTCTGAATCAGGCGAGATAATAAAATGTTTACAGACAGAATGTTCTCCAAAGGATAAAGCGGACATGATGAAGCAGACAGAGACAGAGCGTGACCTCAGTGACAGTAACTGAGCGCTGGGAGGGAGGATTAGTAACTGGACGTTTCTATAACGGACTTTTATCCCGTCTGTCGTCGTCCTTTAAGCCCAGTCACTTCCATAATTGTACCAATAATACAACAGACTTATGTTGCAGTTCAGTGACTTAGGTATGAGACAGAGGCAGGAAAACCTGAAGGAATTTTAAGAAGAAAAAAAGGAATAACACGGAGGACGTGTCGTGTGTAAGAACATGACACATTTCCTGTAATACAAGACAGGAATGAGCAGGGAGAAAGAAAACATCAGCAGAAACAAATGAGACATCGCTGATGTGAGCGCCTCCCAACCAACCACACGGTTATTTACATCACTGTCAACTCTTCCATGTCCGGCTGCTCTGACCACAACCAGCTCACAGTTTACCTGAATAAACTTAACTTAAGGTTTTGACATAAAAATATTAAATTAAACCATTTTTCTTTTAGCTTTGACGGATTTTATTCTAAAAAAGACGTTTTAATTTTGGTCTCAACATTCATTGTCATGTCAACAGCGTAAAGAAACATTTCCACATTAAATTAGAGTGCAACGCAAAATGAAAAACTGGAAGCTATTTTGGAAATGTTCTTTGAGTTTGCTCACAACAGCAAACAATTTACCACGGTTTTCTGTCTGTGTATTCGTGCATCTTCATCTGTATTTGCATCAAAATGCATTTTAGAAATGAACACATTTGACGGCATCATTCCTCTGTCTGCTGAAGAACTGATGAACTGTCCTTTGAATAACAACAAAAGAGTGACTAAGAGTCGTTAACTGTGCATTAAGATCTACTGTGTGTTTGGGAGCAGATACACACAGATACACACATACACACACAGATTAGCCTTATGTTTCATTCATTCAATACAGAGGAAAACGTTAGTTAATCTTCTAGTTAATATTAGCAAAACTTGTAGCTTTGGAATAAAAGTGGATAAAGTAAAAATGATGGAGAAGATTTGACATCAAGACTATGATTTATTCTGACATAAAATGTTGTTTTCTAAATTACACTATTTATTCAATTATTGATGTATTCTGTTTAATCAGTGTGTGTTTCCCATGGATGTGATGCTCTGTAAGTTTTATAATTACTACTAAAATAATATATTATTATTTAATGTCATATTAATTCATTGGGAAACTTGGGGTTGAATGTCATCCGCAGCTAAAAACGAACATGCATCTCCTAGCAACAGACACTTTTAACTTGTGGCATTTTGATGTGTCTTAGCATGAAAATCAAAGATGAATCTAAAAATGAATCAGTAATTGGCTACATTTATCGTATATCGTGTGGCCGGGGCAATAGAAAAAATAGAAGAAGAAGAAAAAAAAGAAAAAACAGAATGGTATTGATTGAAACTGTCCTCGACCTGAGGCCACATACCAAAATGTCAGCCGTGAAAGAAGTCAGTGTGTTCCCCAGTTTAAAGATTAAACCTACGCCACTGTTCCCACACAGACACAGGACATGAGTGACATGTTCACACTGGACTGGGTTTGTTTTGTTTCACAAAAGGTGAGGAAGTATTTAAAAGAGGAAGAGAAGCTTAAAGGATGGAGAATTGTGGGGGGGGTTATCTCCCACCTCACCTCAGAAGGCTGAAAAGATATGAAGGTTTGAAAAAAGGGTGAATAGGATAAAAGAGATGAAACACAGGTGTATGGAGAGGAGTCGAGGTCGAGGAGAAGATTAGGTGGGAAAGAAGGTAAAAAGTGCAGAGAAACAGGGAAAATTGTTGCATCTCGTCTCTCACACACACAAACAGCTGAAAATCCCTCCCCTCAGTCACTGCTCAGAGCACATATCCATCTGACTGCAGGGCTTTTTGAATAATGAGCCAATATGAAGCGAGTCACTGTGAAGATTTGGACGTCTGATGGGGGTCACGCAGTTCCTGCCCTAAGAGCAGTGCAGAAAATCAACAGCCGCTATAAAAAAAGATCACAGGAGGGAGACTTTGCATTTCACACTCACAACTTCGGTGGAAACAACTGACTCCTGTCTGGACTGTCCACATTCATATCAGCCATGCTTTTTAATTTTTTATGCAGCAATTATGGAGAACTGGACCTCCTGGCTTTGTCTGATTTCCCAGGACTTAGTCTGGTGAAAATCCAACAGTCCTTTCATGATATAAAAATGACAGAGCTTGTGATTATTCTTTTATGACTTCAGGGAAACCCACCACCCCACCCCACCCCCATATTATGAAAGTGCTGTTTCATAAAAAGTTATATCGCATTTGGGGAGTTTATGAAAATCTTCACACATTATTACAAAAGTCCTGATATTCCAGCTGACACGTGGCTCAAAGGTCAGGCCGACTCAAAGAATGCTAAAATCTCATTTGTTTGAGCTTTTGTCTGTGGATGGTCATGGATTATCTCTGTTCCTGGCATGAAAATCACCAATCAAATCACAAATCATAATCCTATAGCATTTAAAGCAATATATATATAAAAATGTAACATAAATATATGCAACTTACTTTTTAAATAGTGCCAGTCAATATGTCAACATCAATTTAAAAATAAACAACTGAATAAATACAGCATTCTAACAAGGAGTCACTGACTAATGAATGTAGAAGCTTTTGTCAAAAAACTGACCGTGTTACAATACAATGGTATCTGTGATTTATTTATATTTATTTTATTAAAAAATAACAAATTTCAGTTATGCCTCTAGCTCTTTTACTGGTGTGTAATTCACTTCAATATGTTGTCAAAGAACTTATTATGTTGATCAAAAAAAAAAAAAACCAGCCGTAAGGGAAAACAGCACATCTAAAGTTGCTGTTTCCTCTTTTTTTTTTTATTGTGCTAAACAGCCAACACCAAAAGCACGTACCTGTTCCAGGAGTTTTTTGTATCTCTGTGTGGCTTGTTGGATGAGGTCCCTCACCGTCCAGCCCTCCTTGCAGGGCACCACCACACCTGTCTGCCCAAAGGTCACTGTCACCTTCATCATAGCAGCTGCCACTTCATCCAAGATGTGATGTGATGTGGTCTGTGTCGGTGGCTTGAAGACTCAAAGCTACAGAGTTCCCATCAGAGAGCATGGTTGCAGGTAGGTTTGTGACCATGCAAAAAGTAATAATAATAAAAATAAAAAAACAGGAGAACAAGGCGTTAGAGACAATTTCCTTCTAAAGTGCACAATAAACCTCACACTGATTTAGACATGATGTACTCCTTTTGACATGTATAGTTATCAGCGTCATGACTTCCATGTTTCCATCATTAAAAGCAACAAGTGTTGACACCGTACAAGAGCTACAGGTAAAAATCAAAGTTTCCGGCCGCAGTTCGTGTTTTCATGCTGCAACTGAGTTATGGCCAAAATAACCTAAATATGACGTCATATGTGAGTGAGCGTCAACGTTTACTGGACACAGGGTCTGTGTATTGAAGTTAGCTCCGGTGATTAGCCTTATCCTGTAACCTGGCCCGGGACGAAGCCAGGGATGAAAATAGTTATTTTTGTCACGAGAACGGAACACAACAACCAGTCACAGTCCGTTATGTTTAGTGACATGTTTTGCTTCTTGTTTATGAATACAGGAAAAAAGAAAGAAAAAAAAAGTCACAACAAACTTTCGAACAAACACATTGTCGCGCTAAGTGCTGTGCTAGCTAACGTTAGCCACCTTAGCTGAACTCTGGAAGGAGGGAGAGATGCAGGCGCTCGGGCATCATTCCACAAGTTTTTCCTCGCGCATGGTTCCCTTTTCTCCGGGTGGTAGAGCCAGTCACTCGGTCAGCGACAAACAGCGCGCGAAAGCGAAGCGATTCTCGTCATATTCGGGGAACAAACCGACGGAAAAGTGACACCGTAAACTGAGGTTCTACAAGACCAGCAGGAAAAGTTTGGAGATGCCTTCACTTTCACCCGTTGCTGTCCAGTTCACGACCAACTTCTCCACCGCTGCTTGTTGTCACTTTCTTAAAGAAGCCCTGCCCCTGTTATTGTGCTGGGACAGTGGAGGTGAAGGCTGTGGTTCCAGGCCAAATGTACGGTGTTATAAATTACAAGCGGACCCTGAACTAGTTAACGGTTTTTAATCGAGTCTTGTGACCGTTAGGTTTTAGTAATGCTGCGTTTAAAACTTCTTTTGAAGCAGACAGTTACTGGTCTGTGGAACAATGGAAGCCTATTGTAGCCTAAGTTATTGTGTTGTAGTTTCTGTCCTCTTAAATTCTCCTCAAAATTAGGAATTTGCCGAAAAATTCCCAAAATAATGTTTTCTAAAAAAAAATTCAAAATGCTGTAATTTGATAAGAAACATGCCGACTTTTTTTATTATGAAACTTTTTAAACTTTTGACCAACATAACAGGTGAAATTGATTTTGCCGAAAAAAAAACAAAAGATAAAATTCTAAAAACATAAAATTTTGAAATTTTTTTCAATAACTTTCATGAAAAATTTTCAGCTTTTGACTCACATGACATGCAAATTTAGGATTTTTAAACAAATGGAAAAAAATGCTATTAAAAAAAGGAGCAGTTCAACATAATACAAGACCATTGTACACGAGTCAGTGCCAGTGAAAAACTTTTGTTTGATTTCTTTCTTGCTTTGATTTTTTTTTTTTTAATGTAAAACCACATTTGTCAATGTATTTGTTCTGTCATAGTCATTTCAGTTTAATTTAATGTTGGGTACTGAAAGAAAAGAAAAGTTAAATATTGTTCTTAGATTAAAATCAGACTATAATAAACTTTAAACAACTTTGTTTGGTGATGACATCATGTTTATTTGACTTTATTTAGCCTAATATAATAAGACCTTTTCGGTATGAGTCCATCGTCCAGGGAAATCATTTTTTTATTGTAAGTTGAACCAAAAAGTGTCCGTGAGAAATACTTTAGAAGTGTAAACACAAACAAAAATCTCTCTCTCTATTTTGCTCGTGTACAAACACCAAAACCTACAGCCTTCCATAATTTTGAACAACTTTTAATAGTTGGCATTGGCATCGCATTAATGTGTTGAAGGCAGCGAAAACATGCTACACACAAAACACTCTTTGGCTGATTGGAGTTTGGTTCATCTTCAAAGGGAGACCCTCCCCCCAGGTAGACGTTGGCTTTGTAATCTGCAGCGTAATGCATGCATGTGTATGTGTGCTAATTGATTTGAGCTCTGATTACTTTCTGGGTCATTGAATTCCATTGCTGCTAATTAACCTCGTGGGACTGAGGAAGAACTTGGAAGAACGGGGATGCATACATTCCTCGCGTTTGCTGAAAGTTTGGAGTTTAAAAAATTCCTTTGAATAAAAAAAAAGTCAAGTACATAAATAGAAACGTGTTCATAAAAAAAAAAAAGTCATGGAACGACTCCAACAGTGGAACATAAACCTGAAGAGGTGAACGGAGAACATACTGACATGCTGCATTGATTTACAGATAGATACAGTAGATCATGGTGCACCTGTGGCTCAGTGGTTTAATGGACTCAAACACAGACCACACCTGTACCTTTATAACAATTACAAAAACATTGACTTCTTAGAGAGTGAGACCTCAGATCAAGTCAATCCTATTTTACTGTACAGCCCAAATATTCACAAATAACACATAATAATATCACATTAAGGTTCTGTCTATTAGCAGTAAATAATACACAACAATTTTATGACCAATTCTTATTGTTATAGGGATTTTTTTTTTCATTATCTGTAATTTAAAGGAAATGGAAAACATCACATGCGACGACTGTTTTAACAATGGAAGCTGTGATGGGCGGGGTCGCCCCCCCGACCCCCCACATCCCCCCTGTGGCCCTTCATCCTGGCTACACCACTGTTAGCAGCTGCATCCTGCTGCCCATGACCTGGATCTTTTTTTTTTTTTTCTTTTCATTTAAACGTGTTCTTCAGCAGTGAACGTTGGTTTTCTACAAACACAAACACGTTTATGACCTGTTCTTGGCCAATGTCCTTTATTGTCCATATTTATATATTTATTTTGACCCACCTGCCTGAATTATGTTTATATACCACTCCTCAAACCCAGGCCATGCAGCTGATCCATATGGTTCCTTTAATGCCCCCCCCTGCTGTTGCACCAGGTGCACCCACACCCTGGTAAACAAGCCGTTCTGTGAGGTGGAACATGTTCTGCTGTAAAAAAGGAAAAAAAAAAAAAGAAAGAAAGAAAATGAAAATGTGCAGTGGGAGAGTGGGGAGAGCATCATAAAATGATGGTTTGACACAGATCCCCCACTTCTTTTTGCCCCACCACCCACTTACACCGATACTCACACACACACACGTACAGTATGTGTGTAGTAGATAAAAGCTGTTAATGACATGGACACATCATCTTCACTCCTACGTCCTTCACCACCAACCCCCACCGTGGTGCCGTAATAACAATGATTATAATGTCACAGCTCAGGAACCTCGTTTTCTTTTTTTTTCCACCAGCTTTACTCACTGCATGTTTCTAACTCAGCCCCAGGAGCCGTTAATCAAATACATTTACAAAGTCTTTCAGAGGTGAGACAGAGAGTGAGGCACATCTGGCACAAGACAACGGGAGGTCACATGACATCACCACCCGCTGAGTTTTACCTGCAACATTTGGAGTCTATATCACCATCAACAGACTCGGTTGAACCAATCAGGTGGTGAGATGTCACAGATGTATAACATGCATCACCATTCGACCAAATCACGGTGGACGAACTACAGCCACGCGCAGGAACTGTAACCTTTGACTGGCGCCCCCTGTCTCAAGATCAGCCAACATGCGCTCGTGAAGTTGTTTTTTTTTAATGGCTCTAATTTATTTGTGAACAAAAGAGATTCATTTTTGTGTCGTTCAGAAACAGAAACATGTCATAACTGTTCATGAAAAAAGTTGTTGATACCAAACCATTGGGTTGTTTAATGGTGGAATGCATGTTAAATTATTGATGTTATTATCATCAAAACTTATAATGATTTGTGGTTTGTCATAACCTTCACATTGTAATCGTTTTAAAATAATGTAACAACCCTAACTGTGGGCGGTTCCCACTGATTCTTAACCCCAACTTTAAAGAGTCATTATTTTAGGTTTTACTGCCAGGTCATAGTAACAAGCCTCATTATTTCTCCATGTTGGACAAAGTTTCTTTTTTTTTTTTCTTACACATTACATGAACATTTTTAACGATGACTGTTTTCATGTTACC